GCCAACGAGGGCGCATGTGTGAGAGATTTAGGCAACGCAGAAGGGCTATTGAGGCTGGGCCGGCAACGAGGGCGCATGTGTGAGAGATTATTATGGCAAAGCAGAAGGGCTGCTGAGGCTGGGCCGCCAACGAGGGCGCATGTGTGAGAGATTTATGGCAACGCAGAAGGGCTGTTGAGGCTGGGCCGCCAACGAGGGCGCATGTGTGAGAGATTATTATGGCAACGCGGAAGGGCTGCTGAGGCTGGGCCGCCAACGAGGGCGCATGTGTGAGATTTATGGCAACGAAGGACTGCTAAAGCTGGGTCGCCAACGAGGGCGCATGTGTGAGAGATTTATGGCAACGCAGAAGGGCTGCTGATGCTGGGCCGCCAACAAGGGCGCATGTGTGAGAGATTATTATGGCAATGCAGAAGGGCTGCTGATGCTGGGCCGCCAACGAGGGCGCATGTGTGAGATTATTATGGCAATGCAGAAGGGCTGCTGAGGCTGGGTCGCCAACGAGGGCGCAGAGATTTAGGCAATGCAGAAGGGCTGCTGAGGCTGGGCCGCCAACGAGGGCGCATGTGTGAGAGATTTATGGCAACGAAGGGCTGCTAAAGCTGGGTCGCCAAGGAGGGCGCATGTGTGAGAGATTTATGGCAACGCAGAAGGGCTGCGGAGGCTGGGTCGCCAATGAGGGCGCATGTGTGAGAGATTATAATTATGGCAACGCAGAAGGGCTGCGGAGGTTGGGTCGCCAATGAGGGCGCATGTGTGAGAGATTATAATTATGGCAACGCAGAAGGGCTGCTGAGGTTGGGCCGCCAATGAGGGCGCATGTGTGAGAGATTATAATTATGGCAACGCTAATAAGCGTGTATGAATGAAGATTTTTGTACTTTTTCTTTAACTTTGACTTTTTCATTTTTCTTTCTTCTCTCACCATACCATCCACTCCTGCAAACATATCATCAGCAGCTTGCTGTTGGTGAGTGATTTCTCGTGGTAACCTAGCTATCACCTGAAATGCCGAAGTACTCTGACAGTGGGTATTTATTTCTTTGAATAAGAAATTTGTACTTATTGTTAGGTTCGTAGTTTGGGGTTCTACGCAACAAAGGATAATCCTTATTGGAGATTTTCTGCTTAAAATCTGCATGTAGGGTTTCCTTTGGACGAGTCGCCCCGGCCCAGCCCGTAGTCACAGACCTCACCGTGGTGGGCTGGTGAACATGGAATAGGATAACCTTAAAATAAGTAGATTTATCACCCACGGATTTATGTCAGACTTTAATTTGGTAATAAAGTATAACTGGGAAAATACTGTATTGAACAGTAAATTTGTCTTAATATTTTCAGTAATTTTCCTTAATTTGGGAGCTACATATCATACTATGTTAGTCTGATTTTCTTTATTATTTATCTTGGTTATCCTTGGGCTTGAATTCTATTCCATGGCCAACATGTGACTTAATTTTATATTTAAATTTATTATGAAGAATAGTAACATTACTGTTGACCAAAGTATTCTGTTAATGTTGATTTTCTGCTTTATTAGTATACAAGGTAAAATAAATTATTTTATAACAGTTTACTAAGGATTATGCGATATATTCTCGATAAGCAAAGCGTTTCGGGTAAAAATTAAAGCTGATGAAGCCTTCTTATTTATATACACCCTAACTCATTCACTCACACACACACACACACACACACACACACACACACACACACACATACACACACACACACACATATATATATATATATATATATATATATATATATATATATATATATATATATATATATATATATATATATATATATATATAATTTTTTTTTTTTTTTTAATTTGTTTATTTTTAATTTATTTATTTTATTTATTTACCTGAGGGCCAATAACACTAGTGGCCTCGACTAGAACAGGAAGCCGGCAGCTTCTCAAAGGTCCCTCCATTTGCCCTGATGATTTTTTTCAACTAGATTTTAAAATTTACCTGTTTTGGCATTTAGGGGTTAGGCGGGTAGGCTTCAAACTGACAAATAACAATTAATAAGTAACGAAAACAAAACCCTTAGTCACTTGGCTTTACACAAGATTTAAAAAGAGAAATATATATATAAGTGAAATTTACGTTAATCAAAAAGGTGCGTTTAACTTTATACAAAAGCATGTACGCCTCTGCTGTCACCTGGGGAGGCGAGAGTTAGTGTTACAGCTCTGAGCACTGAAAGCATATTCTGATCTCTGGACTGATTGATGATTCATTAAGGTTAAGCCAACTAGGAGGTGGCACGAGCATGAATAGCCCGTAAGTGGTAGATTTTATTTTTTTATTAATGAATGTATACTGTGTGCTGAGGTCGGATTTAAATCATTAGGCTGCTATCGCGGGGGAGGATACTGATTGACAGTGTTTATGAGGGGTCTCCATCTCTGGACGTCGGCGAGCCCTGTATATATGGATCATGAGTCAAAGCTGGCGCGAATTCTGTAGGTATAGCAATTGCCGGCAGAAAAACAGTCGTTAGCGGGTGGCATCTGGTCTCCAGCCGAGACAGCTGGTGTCTCCGGTAATATGGTAGAGGGGGTGTGTCTAGACACCCAGTACGTTTTGAGCACGTTTTGTTGAATCGTGATGTTGGGACATGCAGATATGTTGGTGGATAGGCGGTAAAGGAACAGACACAATCTACTGCTTTAAGCAGAAGATTACCGAAACAACGTAAATATGTCAAGCAGTAATAAAAGGTTTAAATACCGTTTAAATATCAAGAATAATTTGTCTTAAATGTTACCAACACTGCCATCAATATTTGTTACCTTGATAAAGGGTTACCCACTTTAAAAGTACATCTTGTAAATTTTTCACTCAAAAAATGTACACTGAAAAATATGGCTCACTTGTCGCGAGTTGAATATTTCCTACACACTAAACTTTAACTTAATTAAATGTTTAGGTTCCAACATGAAGTTTCACTTGTTCTCAGAAACCAGCCGATACCTAGTTATATTTCTATCACTAGTCCTATAATAACAAAACTATAACAATTTATTATTAT